TTACAAACTCTCACACAGCTGGTGCAGTATAATCAAGTGTAATGTATCCACGCGTATGCTCAGTACTTCCAAAACACATGCATTTTCGCTAAAACCTTATGATTTAAGACTGAACTGAAAGTGAAACTTACCTACGCTCTCAAAGCCAGACTCTAACACCAAGGTTTTTTTCAAGAAAACACACGTGTTTGGGAAGTACTGAGCATAAGACTGGATAATAAGACTTTGATTATACTGCACGAGTTGTGTGAGAGTCTGTTAATGGATGTTTAGATATAGTTTTCCCTATGTTAGTCCCCTATCATTCAATAAATCAATATGTTCGCTGTTTTCCGTGGAGGCATGCAAGAAACACAAAGTATTCCTTTAAAGTAGGCTATCAGAATGAAGAGAAACAAGACCTGTGACTGGTACTGTATATTATTAAATATGAAATTATTAAATTATTAGAAACTGATGCATCAAAGCAAGGTAGAGTTATACTGTAGTAGCTGACTGAAATGGAGCTACTTTGATTACTTATTATACTGCACAGTTAGTGTAATCCAATGGTTCCAGGTCACAAGATAAATTGGAGGCGGTGTGAGATGACAGAACAACTTTGTATTCATTTTGAACTTTAAATATTAAATGTGCTGGCATCCCAGTATATTGCTGAACCTCTCTGCCCCTACTCCAGCTCCCGACCTCTTAGATCCTCAGAACAATATCTTTATATGTCCCGCGACTGAAGCTGGTGGGTAAAGGAGATTGTGCCTTTGTAGTAGCTGCTCCAAAACTTTGGAATAGCCTTCCACTCTCAATCAAATGCTCCCCCTCCACTGACACTTTTAAGACAAATCTTAAAATGTTCACATTTCAATGACCTGTGGTCTTAATATTTTAGTATTTTATAATCTTTTTACCGTATGTAACTGTTCTTACCGGTGTTATTCTGTTTTATATTTGTGTACATTTTATATCACTATATATTTGTGTGTCAGTCTTTTATTTTGTACAATAAACTTGAGTTTAAGTTTAGGAAATTAAATAGACATCTGCATAGAAGTCTGACAACTATTGATTAAAAAATATAAAGAAAGCAAACTGCTACGCTACAACAGGCAACCACTTGCTGCCATCAAAATACTTTTTTAGCAGATGTTATTTCAAAGTCATAAAAAGGTCGTCAAGAAGTCACAGGAAAAAAAAGTAATCAAAAACTAATAAAATAACTAATAAAATATGTCATTAAAAAGTCAGAGTGTGTGCACTTTTTGTGTGCGGCCCTCAACCTTATATTGACTCCTTAAAATGGCACTCACTCATCAAAACTTTGAGAATCCCTGATAAGATTTTGGTTTCAAAATTATTTAAAATGGTCCGTTTAGCTGTTGATTTTCTAATAATTTTTTGGTGCATGCATGTGTTAAGGCAACTTGTGTGTGTTGGTCTGCACAAACATTCATTTGTGAGTGTCTGCATGTGTTTTCTATCACATTGTGTGTACTAGATCGTGAGCGTTTTTGTGCATCTGCAAACATACTTCAGAACACGAGTATGCATGAGCAAAGGAAACAGAGATGTGCAATACTGAGTGTTGGCAATCCATTTCCCCTTTAACGCGCCAACATGATGCCTCCACCCATCTAATGGCAGCAGGCTCACTAACCATATCATGAGTTTATAATAACCACATCACATCCATGGCGAATGAGGTGGAATGAAAATCTAACCTAATTTGGAGAGATACACGACTGTGTGAGTAGTAGGGTGTCCCCTGAGATGAGGCTCCGATTGAGGGAGCCGTGTGCTGCACTGGTAGCATGCTCTGTGAGCGTGTAATGGTCTTAATTATCATTTAGCATGCCAGCCTCATTGACGACGTATCAAGCCAGTGATAAAATAGTGGAGCAGAGGGTGACAGAGAGAGAGATATATGAACATATCAACACTTAAAGGCACAGGCACACACAAAACAGCAGTGAATATCCCTTAAAACACACACACTCAAAACAGTAAAGTTAAACAGCAGCATACCCAGAGGTGCAGTTGGAGTGATACACATGCACACACACACATTTCCACCCAGCTGAGTGACATCTCTCTCTCTGAATTAGTCACGATGAATGATGTGTAACCAGCCATGACTCGTTCTGGCTGGGGAGATAGCTAATTCACTTTGTTTAATTAGTCAAAAGTAGTAGAGCATGCTCTCTCTCCCCAAACATACACTCTGATCGCACGACATCCACCCATCTACGTGCCCCATTCTCTCTGTAGAAAAGACCGATCTGTGACCACACCGGTGTAACATTTCATGGGGCAAGTCTTTGAATCTTATCTGCCACTGAGAAGGATCTCTGACTCTTCCTCTCTCTTTCTCTCTCTCACAATCATACAACACGCACACACACCTGTCACCTTTTGCTTTGTGATATCTTCACCGAGATTACAAAACACCATTTAGGGATCACAGCTCCAGAGGTTCATCTCATCCCCAGAGGTCTGTGTGAAAGGGGCTCTGGTGATACTTGGCTGAAAGTTTCTGCAGACAAGACACAAGACAAGCTGTGTTCTCTGCTCATAGATTCAGCCGTACCAAAACTTTGAGGTAAAGTGCTGAATTCTTTGACCTTTGCATGCTTTTGGTGAAACTACTTTGAGATATTTTACAGTGTGATTATTTGAGTCAAATGACTGAGATCAATTTCAGAATTATTTCTCACTTTATCTTTCTGTCTAAAGTACTTATATGTGAAGAAATACCCTGCTGTATAATTCTAGTATAGTATAGTATAGTATAGTAAAGCATAATGGGGTATAGTAAGGTAACTATATATA